TGCTGTCTGTATTTTGGCAGTTCACGGGAGATATTTGCTTTATTAAAGTCCCCAAGAATGATTAAAACAGAGTCCGGGTGTTGTTGTTCTGTCTCTGTGATCTGATCAGCGAGTTTCTGTGAAGCTGAGCTCACGTGCGCTTGCGGAGGAATGGAAACACTGACGAGAATGAACTAGCAAAACTCCCGTGGCGAGTAGAAAGGCTTACAGTTAATGAAAAGTGCTTCTAGATCTGAACAGCACATTTTCTTTAACACGGTTACATCTGTACACCACCTTTCGTTGATGTAAAAGCATGTCCCGCCGCCGCGCGATTTCCCCGTTGATTCTGCATCGCGGTCTGCTCTAAACAGCTGAAAGCCCGGCAGATTTAACGCGCTGTCCGGTATGGCGTCATTCAGCCAGGTTTCCGGGAAACACAGAGCAGCAGAGTGTGAGAAATCCTTATTTGTCCGGGATAGCAGAAGGAGTTCGTCCATTTTGTTGGGTAGAGAGCAGAGGTTCGCCAGATGGATGCTATGCAACGGCGTTCGAAATCCGCGCTGCCTGAGCTTCACGAGGGCGCCGGCTCGCTTCCCCCATCTGCGCGTCCTGAAGCGCTTGATCAGCGCAGCTGCTCCGCCAACTACTATGTCCAGCAAAACATCAGAATAGTCGAAAACCGGTAATATATCGGGTGATGTGTAGTGCCGAATGTCCAGCAATTCGTCTCTGGTGAAACTGATTGCAGGGATATAACTAAAGACAGGACAAACTAACAAAAACACAAAAACAACTGCAGAGCACACCACAGAGGCCGCCATCATCATCGGCGCCATCTTGTTCATATCCAAAACCACGGAAACCATATGGTCCAAAACCATACTAAAGCCATTCTAAAAAATATTGTGATTTTTTATTAACTGTTTGGGCTCTCATTTAGATGGCACCCATTCACTGCAGAGGATTGGTGAACAAGTGAGGTAATGCTAAATTTAAATAAAGTTAACATGTAATTTTGAAGTATTTGGTTACATTTTTGTGTCTTGCATGGAAAATATTGTAAGCAAAGCTCAGTGGGTTCTGGAAATATTAGCTTTATTCTGTAGCTCTGGACCTCCTGAGAATAATTAAGATAATCAGAGCTTTACAGTTGGAAGGAGAGGATTTGCGACATAGTAGCATGTGTATTAATATGAAATGCATATGAATGAGGTTATTTTTGTTCTGACAGCTTTTGGATGTGTTGTTAATTTTCCACTTCACTAAATAATGGAGCTGATGAAAAATGCACTAGGATTACACCTTTGCCATCCAGTTTACTTTGTATATAGTCAAAAAGAAAATATAAGATTAAAAGACCTTTTGGCTTGAGTTGACTCGAGGCCTATTAAGGTTGCAGCTGTGATGCAGTGTTTACGAATTTAGTCCACCAGCGTGGACAGTTTCCTAAAATGATTCAGACTGATGCTTAGCTGAAGTCAATCAGGGCGACTGGTGGAGAGGACAAGGAGCACATTCGTGGCCTCTGTTTAAGGTGCCTGCAGTGTTTCAATGAGGGTGCAATCAGCCTTCATTAGAAATCCCATCAATTCTTTCTATTCAAATCAATAGTGATTTGTTTTTTTTCACTCCATGAGAAGAAAAGGTCAGCATATTAGCAGCCATACTGATGAACGTTTCTCACTAGCAAGAAGTTCATGTCTCTATATATGTAATAGGAAATACAGTAAAAACAGTAATGCTGTGAAAAATGATTACAGTATAAAATGTTTTGTTTTAATATATTTCAAAATATTTTTTATCTTCAGTGTCACATGCACCATTCATTTTTTTATACTTTTATTAATTTCATTAATGTAAATTTTTCAGTTCAGCTTTTCACTAATTGATATGCTGCTACATGTAACATGGAAAAAAGAAAAATAGAAGAATTTTCACAGGTTTGTTGATACTTGGCATTTCTGGCTCTTGAATTGTTCATTATAAAGCAAAAGAAGCCAAACTTACATATCTGTTAACAGCATGAAAAAACAATGAATTGCTTGCGAACAGCAAAATCCCAGGACCTTCAGTTTCTCCAAATATTTTTTCAGGAGAACTAGAAGACTTGCTGATAAGGCTTCACATGTGATGTTTGTTTTTGCAGTTCTCATTATCTCCAGTGTGGTGGTGGATTTATTTATATATATATATATATATATATATATATATATTTTTTTTGGCCCATCCAATTACAGTGAAGACTCACAAAGATCAGAGTATCACACTGAATTTCCCTGTTAAAGGGCCTTTAACGATTCACTTCAAAATGTGATCTTAAAATTATATATGACTCTTATGTACACAAGCACACAATGGAGGAGTTGCTGTGTCCTCTAGTGAGACATTTTTTGCACAAATAAGTCTTTGTTGGCTGGGTTTTTTTTTATATATATATATATATATATTTTTTTTTTTTTTTGGCCCATCCAATTACAGTGAAGACTCACAAAGATCAGAGTATCACACTGAATTTCCCTGTTAAAGGGCCTTTAACGATTCACTTCAAAATGTGATCTTAAAATTATATATGACTCTTATGTACACAAGCACACAATGGAGGAGTTGCTGTGTCCTCTAGTGAGACATTTTTTGCACAAATAAGTCTTTGTTGGCTATAGTATCTTCTGTATTAAGTGTTTTCTTGAGTTATTAGCTGTAATACTGGTGAATATGGCTCTCAATTAGTTCACAATTAGAAAAGCAGCTGTTGATTTAACAGACCACTGACAAGTGCAAT